CCTGCTTTCTCTTATCCTAGGACTCAGTAAGTAAGCTGGTGTACCCCATTTAAGTCAGATGGTCAGAGAAATCTCGAGTTTAAATATTCTGTCCTAATGTCTTCGCATAGGACACATATTATCAATTGTTCCGAACATAGAGTCGCTGTGATTATGACAGAATGGGCTGGGGAAAGGAGATTTGCGTTCCAGTCTCCATCTTTGTTGCCGACTCAGAGACCCCGGGCAACTCCTCTTTGGGGCTCAGTTTTCCCACCTGCAAAAAGAAGTTGGAGTAGACAAACTGCAACGCATCTTCCAGGTCTGGCCTCTTCTGATTTTGCAAGATGCATCCTAGTACTATATACAGGGGCACGGCTTTGACAATCCCAGGCTGATGTGGTTTCAAATCAGTTCTGGCTCCAAGGTGAATCTGACACTAGCACCTGAACTTGATACTGCCATTTGCCAGCCTCCTTCAGGCCACCCATACATTGCCGTTAGACCTGAGGTTTTTGGATGCAGTGAACTCATTTCCAAAAGAATACAATCCCACGTGACAGGGAGAGCGGGGCAGTCACAACGACACTAACACACACATTCTCTTCTCAGCCAGTGGGAGGGGTCATTTCTCTCCATAACTCTAAATATTTTTCTTTTTGTCTCACGGATGTCTTTCCACTCCACAGAAACCACTATCGTCGTGCAAGAGAGAGGGACCCACATCAATACCACACACATTCACACACGCCTCTGTGGAAAGTCTGATAAAAGAAAACTACACGATTTCTCTTTAGAACTTAGTCCTCCACTGAAAAAGTGTCTGTAATAGTTAAAGAGCCCTACGCTTTCCCATTTCTTAGAGTCCATGCGGGTGGGACTTCCTCATTGCCAGGCTGCCCTCAGGTCCTCCAGAGCCGCGGACGCTCTATGTGACCGCCTCGTAGGCGGGCCGGGCTCGCGCCTCTCTAGCCGGCTCGTGCTCTCTATGGTCCAGGGGAACAGCTTCCGGTGGCGGGACGCTGGGCTGCGCACGCGGGAAAAAGGTTCCCCAGTGTCCCCCTCCCCATCCCCTGTGTCCCCGCCCCCCTCCCCCGCGTCCCCCAGCGAGCCCACCGTCCGCACTTGGGCCGTCGCTAGGCTGCTGCTTGAGGAGGTGGGTGGTCGCCGTCCCCGTGCCCCAGGAGGGCGCGGGTCCCTCCGTCCCCCGTGGGACGCTCGAGATGGACCGTTCCACGTTCGAATCCGCGGGCAGCGGGCGAATCCATTTTAGGGGAAGGGGGGAAACCGTGGGTCTGGGGCCGAGGCACGGTGGGAGCGCTGGGAGGGAAACCCTGCACTCAGAGCTGGGTTGGCGCGCGGGCGAGGTGCGGCCTCCAGGCAGGCCCTGGGGTACCGCTCCTCGTTGCCATGGCGCCAGGTGGATCGCCTAGAGCCTGCTTCTGGTTGGGGTGTAAGCACTACTCCAGGCCCGGTTTTCTAGCTGGGGCTGGGCCTGGCCCCTCGACCTCTGCGGAGCCTGCCTGTAGGCTCCCAGGCAGAGGAGATCCCGAGACATCCCGGGCGCAGCCACAGGTTGCCACCTGGCCCCATCCGTGTGCTGAGTGAGGTGTTGTCATTCACGCTTCTCTGTTTCCCTCTTGAATTCAGATTCCCAACGTGCTGAGTAACTATCTGCACAGCCATCCAGGAGTTGGGGCTCAGCTCACAGTTGAGGCCAAAGGGGCAGGTCAGCATGGCAGAAACGCTGGAGTTTAACGACATCTACCAGGAGGTGAAAGGCTCCATGGTAAGAAGGGCTTGGGCTTTTAATACAGGTGGAGAGGGGAGGGGAGTAGACTTTTTGTCAGGCAACAAGAGTTTGCTTGGATGATGTTGCCACTTTGGGAAAGGAGAGTATAATGTATACTTGTTGTTTCTCCAGCAAAGGTTAATAGTGAGAGAGTACTGGAGTTACAGGACCTCAAGAGTTTATAGGGACCATACCTGCTGCTCAGCCCCATATCTCGAAACAGAGGACCTGCAAAGGTTCTGGATGCCAGAGCCAGGATTAGAATCCAGACTTTCTAGCTACTTGTCCCTTACTGGCCCTCACCATTTCAGCCATGGCTCCTGCATTGACATCGAGCCAGCCTAGGATAGGAGTCGGGCGGGGCTGTGCCCAGTATGCACTGTGTACCGTCCCTGTGCATTTAGGTCTGTTTTTCTAACAGAATGATGGTCGGCTGAGGTTGAGCCGCCAGGGCATCATCTTCAAGAACAGTAAGACGGGCAAAGTGGACAACATCCAGGCGGGGGAGCTGACGGAAGGCATCTGGCGCCGCGTGGCTCTGGGCCATGGACTTAAACTGCTCACGAAGAATGGCCATGTCTACAAGTACGATGGCTTCCGAGAGTCGGTGAGATGTCCTGGTGCCATAACCCCCACTTTATGGTGCCATCTCGTTTAATTTGAATCTTCTAGAGAGGGTTGGGGCTCCTTCCTCTGCTAACCATGTAATTGCCGGTTTGGACTCTACAGAGCAGAGCCATTGAGGCCATTAAGCGATCAGTGTTCAGTTTTGGGTGTCAGAGTCTTGGGCCTGCCTTTGTGTCTTGACTCCAGAAGGTTTTCTACCGTTTTGATTTTTCGGTGGTTTCTGCTTGTTGCCTTTTTCCAGGTTCATAGTTTTAGTTTGATTCTTTACTTTGGGTTTTGTTTTCCCATTTTGAACTGCTCGAGTTAAAGACTACTTTACTTGAATTTACGCTTTCATTAAAGCAATACCTATACAAAGTCTGAAAGCATTGTGAGGCCGTAGCCAGGAATTGTCAGTTCTTTATTTTACTCTTCCCTCAGCCTGAGTTCCGGTGCCCAGAAACAGCCTCTTTCAACATCCTTTTAAACAGTTTTATAGCTGAGACTCTTAAGTCAACATGGATTTCTGATAAAAGGTATATTAGGGCAGCTTCTCAGAAACAGATAATCGTAGAACATTCAAGTTTATGTTAAAACCACTGGGGTTTACTGGGATTGCTTTCTCTGCTTCACTTACAGGAGTTTGAGAAACTCTCCGATTTCTTCAAAACTCACTATCGTCTTGACCTCATGGAGAAGGACCTATGTGTGAAGGGCTGGAACTGGGGGACGGTGAAGTTTGGTGGTGAGTCTGGGCAAAGGCTGAGGTTTGGGGAGAAGGTGGGAGGAAGGATTTCAGCCTTTAACTTGTTTTGCTCTCTTTCTGTCACTGCCTCTGATTTCCTATTGGTTTGTAATCCATCACTATGTTTATTGCGGGCCAACAGTGTTTTAAGCACTGTGCCTGGTCTTGAGGTTACAGTACGAGCAAAGCATCCTGTCCTCAGGGAACTGCAGTCTGGCGGGAACATGCTTTATGCAGACTCGAGTTTCTGGAGAAGCTTGACAGCTCTTTCCTTACAGGGCAGCTGCTTTCCTTTGACATTGGTGACCAACCTGTCTTCGAGATACCCCTCAGCAACGTGTCCCAGTGCACCACAGGCAAAAACGAGGTGACACTGGAGTTCCACCAGAATGATGACGCAGAAGTCTCTCTCATGGAGGTGCGCTTCTACGTGCCTCCCACCCAGGAGGATGGCGTAGACCCCGTTGAGGTGAGGTCTCCCCTGGTCGCCTTGGGAGCAGATGGTGCTAAGCAGGCCCCACCTGGTCCAGGAGCAGGATCCCTGCCACTCAGTTACCAGTGTGTGCTTTCGCAGGCCTTTGCCCAGAACGTGCTGTCTAAGGCGGATGTGATCCAGGCCACTGGAGACGCCATCTGTATCTTCCGAGAGCTGCAGTGTCTGACCCCTCGAGGCCGATACGACATTCGGATCTACCCCACCTTTCTGCACCTGCACGGCAAGACCTTCGACTACAAGATACCCTACACCACGGTGCTGCGTCTCTTTTTGTTGCCCCATAAGGACCAGCGCCAGATGTTCTTTGTGGTAAGCGGAAACCACTGGGAGTGGGTTGTCCTGGGTTTTGCCTGAGTCTTTCATGGACGATCTCTCTGGGGCTTAATTATCAAGTTCTCACGGAGCATCGCCTGGTGCTAAGCCTTGTCGGCTCTTCCTTGTCAGATCAGCCTGGATCCCCCCATCAAGCAGGGCCAGACCCGTTACCACTTCCTGATCCTTCTCTTCTCCAAGGATGAGGACATTTCTTTGACTCTCAACATGAATGAGTGAGTGTCTCTCTGGACTCATAGCCTGCCAGGTCGAGGCGGGAGACAGGCATGTATTAGGAGGAAACACTGCTCGTGACCTCATCTTCCTCTGTCGTAGGGAGGAGGTGGAGAAGCGCTTCGAGGGGCGGCTCACCAAGAACATGTCGGGATCCCTCTACGAGATGGTCAGCCGGGTCATGAAAGCACTGGTGAACCGCAAGATCACTG